ATTATTTACAGTAGAAATGTAAAACTGTCACATCCGTGTCATGCAGTGTCACAGCCGTGTTTACGTAGGCTATTTTGTTTCCTTTCCGAGGGCTTTAAGGTTGTCCATATACATCAAAAGTATGCTTTTGGTTTATACTTTCGATACACATCGCAAAAAGTAAAAAAAAAAATCTTTAATTTTTAAAAAAAAATTGGCACAAATTTAAGAATGGCCCAGGTACCTCTATCTACAATAATCTACATCATACCTAATAAGGCCCAGCTACGCAGCTGCTCTAAAAAATGGTCAAAATAAAACCCCTAAAAACGAAAGCGTTGAAGTACGCACAATATACCACATAGTTACCATGAATAGTAATTTTGCAAGACAAAATTTTCCCGCACCCGGTCCTTATTAAGGTTCAGTCAAACCAACGCGATCAGTCGGCAAGCAGCGATGGCGATCAAGCATTAGTCTCAGATTGTCATCGCTGCACACCGGCTGATCGCGTTGGTTTGGCTGAACCTTTTATTTATTTATTTTTATTGGGCTATCAACATGAGATACAGTATTATACACAATTAAAAAAAAATTAAGCCAAAGGTCTCTAGCTAACTGCTCCCACACAAACGATAACCTCAGCATGCATAATATTATAATGTAAGCAACCCGTGAACTTTACACAACACAATAACATAATTATAGTAGGTACCTAATTACAACTTTGAATTTAAACAAAAAAAAAGAAAGCAACAAAAAAACAAAAAATAAAATAATAAGAGGCCTCCTAGATGCATGCCACCAGGGGCACGTCACCCGTCTTAATTGTACCAGCGAGGCTTTGAAAATGTATATCAAGTTCTGGCAACTTCTTGCTGAGATCATTGTACAAACGAGATACACGAACAATTGGTGAATTGCGACCCATCCTCGTCCTACAAAATCTATTTCTGAACAATCCACAAGGGTAACGTGGTATTTAGCTTTTATCTTTAGCTATGCAGACCTACTTTAAAAACCCTTACCCCGTGGCTAAGTAGGTATGTACCACAGTAGGTAGGTACTTACCCACTTGGTAATTGTCATATTCATCACCTACGAGTCTTGCCTTCCCCTGCCTACTCTGGGTTTGCCCATTGGGATACTCACAGGTTTGATTCATGTTAGACCTTTGATCGGTTCTCCTTGTCTCAAACACATGGCCTTGCGATCGTTCGTCATATTGCCAGCTAAAAGCACTCCCGAGTAGCAGCACGACACACAGCCTTTTATGCATTGTTTTATAGCCGAAATAAAATGAGAACTTATCAAGAGTTATTGTTACATATTGATTTTCATTCTATTTTTACCCGATTGCTCTAGGAGGGTTATGTATATGATGGATTAATAGAAATCATGAAAGCATTGCTAGTTGCTGTATGAGTTATTATGTTTCGATGAGTTGATTTATGTAATGGTCATGAGATAATTACCTAAATACATTTAATGAAGCAAAATCCCAGGTCACAATCGTATACCTTTTGTATTCATTTGACCTTTAATAGACCCCTATTGGATCACGCCCCAGACTTGGTTCGGATTTCGCCAAAATACGGCATATTTTTAGTACATTTATCAAACAATAGATGGCGCATTCTGTATTTAAATTGACGATATCTAAAGTTAAAGCGAGGTTTAGACTAGCAATAATACTTGCAGAAGTTGACTTTCGCAAGCTGTCATCACTGCAAATCTTGCAGAAGTTGGCTTGTATTTACACATAAAACAGCTTACGGAAGTCAACTTCTGCAAGTTTTATTGCTAGTCGGTTAAGAGCGTAATAAATAAAAGATTCCTTGATATATCATATAATTTTTATTAAATACATTTTTACACTTCAACACGTGCGTCACGGCGGAACATCTTAATACATTTTTGAATAATATTTCACTTCAGACGATCTCGTACTTGTCCGGATGGAGCGCCACTTCGTGAGAGAAGTCCACGGGCGCTCCGCCCTCCGCCTGCGAGACTCCGGTAGCGGATAGCAGGCACATCGTGGTGTCTGACGTCCACGTCACGGACAGCGGGAAGAAGTCGTTGGGAATGGCTGGGGTGACACTGGAAAAAAATGTTTTTTTAGTCTATGACTAAAACAAAGCTTGAACAGTGGACGGGCAGGTCAATCTACCAATGAAGAAAACAGAATAATTATGTTGTTTTTTTACATTTTCTAGACTTGGCATTATCCTCGTTGTGGGGATTAGGTTTTCAGGAAAGTTTCCCTGCGTTTCGACACTAACATTATGTACAGGTTTACAATAGCATATTTGAGAACACCACCAAAAATCAATTGACGTACTTTTTTTATGAACTATCAAAACGAGACTCTCCCTTTGGCAATACAAAGCAATGACGTCACTATTGAATCAATCACAATCGCAACAAAAATTCTTAATTTACAGTTGAAAAGATATAATGTGCAATGTGCATGACTCACGTGAACTCCAAACTGCCTGTTTTCTGCTGCTTATTGATGATGGGCACGGACCAGATGAGTGTGCGGCCCTTCTGTGCATAGCTGCCTTCCCACTGGTGCACTACCAGAGAGATGTTACCGGATCTGGAGAAAGAGATAACGTTATTGCACGTGCAATACTGTGTACCTTTTAAGTCGCGCCATTTCGAACTTTATTTCTTTATAGTAACGTAATAGTCGTTCAGAAACACCCCAAAAACACTTAATTTTATCGTCAAAAGTCAAAGAGGCTGTGGTCTCCTATAGACGCCGTAGACCACATACAGCGTTATGTCGTAGGTCGCGTTACACACAATGTTTACTATAGAAAGAAACAAAATAAATGTTTCTTTCTTTCAAATGCACTGTTGTGGTCTCCTTCAGACGACGTCCGCTTATAGACAAATAGCCCAATCAAGAGGCTACCAAGTATGGACACGATGGACGCGGAAGGAACGTTTGATGCTGACATCATATACCGCTTATAGCGTTTAATAGACCTTAGACTAAAACCACAGAATAATAATAAGTACTTCGTACAGAAGATTTTCTTCGCGAAGGTATTTAAAAAAATGTATGCTCAATGTCGTTAACAATATGGTGTAATAAAATTTAAATTAGCTTGTCTCAAGAGTCGAGCATCATTTTGTTGACAAACGTCAGTGATCGGTACTGCGCCGAAGACATAGGGCTGACTTCGGTAAAATGATGTGACGTGAGGTGCCAAACTGCGAAAAATGGCGGAGGAAATACATGATTTAGCATGAATTATCATGAATAATATTAACTACTTATTTACCTCTCAGTGTCTTGAGGCAACTTAAAAAAGTACATTCTGTGTTTTTATTATTATTTAGGCAGTTAAATACTGCACAGTATTTAGTACACCATTTTCTTGATTTTCTTCCATCATACACAAGAATACGCGTGCGTGAGTCAATGTTCGCTCGTATGTGAGGCCTTGTCGAATAGTATCCTGTAGGTGGGCCATCGTGCGTGTTTTGTTTTCGATGCAAACTCGCGGAGATGAACAGGCCTGCTAAAACATCAAATATTGTCTCCGAAAATATCTACATCGCCTAACACCCTGTATAACGTGACTCACGGCAGCGGGATGTGTATGTTGACGTCATTGAGCGACAGGTGGTCGTGCTCCAGCTCGTACTCGATGTTGACGTCACAGCCGCCGCCCGCGCCCTCCGACGGCCAGCAGTTCACTGGGGGACAACGCAACCACACGTTAAGACGGAACTTTAATTAATTAATTATTAATTAACACAAACATTACTATGAGGTCTCACAGTGCGCATTAGCATTTGACAATACCAATACCTTGATAATACAAACATTGTAGCTGCATTTGGAATCCCCAATACGTCACCCACATTCACAAAATAGAAAAAATACAGCATAAATTTGTAAAGCATCTTAACTACCGCGAATACCACATGTGGTCAGATTACGAGGATTCTTGTAAATCCCAAAATATTATGTCACTTGAAGACCGTCGTTGTTTACTTGACGTGACCTTTCTTTATAACATCTGCAATAGCAACATAGACAGCCTTAACCTTGCATCCAAAACGCTTACTTTTGGTGCTCCTCGCACCCGTACTAGACATACTAAGCTTTTTAGCAGTTCTTTGTCTCGCAGTAATTACTCCCAAAATTCTGTGGTATGCAGAATGCACCGCATTTATAACAAAAAGTTTAGTCAAGTCGATTTGTTTTGCACGTCCAGGCACTCTTTCAAGAGGGAGATTTGCGACTTATTAGGTAAATGAAAACTCACGCACACTCACACACACACACACACGCGAAGCAAGTGTTATAGTTGTCACGATCCCTATGTCTCACAAATGAGTCCAGGTTCTCGCGCGTGTATATAGCTACCTGGTAAATTAATCATCGTTTATTATCATCGTCATCATTTCAGCCATAGGACATCCACTGCTGAACATAGGCCTCCCACAATAATTTCCACAATGGCCGGTTGGTGGCGGCCTTTATGAGGTCGTCGGCCCACCTTGTGGGTGGATGTCCTACGCTTTCTGCATTGCTTATTTCAATCAATGATAGTCCAATTAACTGTTTGAGATAAAGAACCTTAATAGGGGCGTTTGGCGAAAAAAAAGTTTTCGGCGAGCACACGTTAGACGAATAGTGACGTGTTTCATTCATTGCAGTGACAGCGCTCACCGCTTGGCGACCGCCATTTTGTTTCCAAGCGCTTTTTTCCGTCAAATTCAAGATGGATACAAGAACTTAATCTCGTTTCAACCAATTTCGGACACAAGTTACACGATCTTTAATTTTTTTACAATAGTGTGAGTCACGTTAAAAAAATACATATAATACACAAAAAATGCCAACAAATAATAAAAAAATGATACTTTTTGAAAAAAATCTGCTTTTAAATTCGTGTTTTTTTGGTTATTTGATAAATTTCTCCAAAAAGCAAATTTTTTTTCAAAAAGTATCATTTTTATTATTTGTTGGCATTTTTTGTGTATTTTATGTATTTTTTTAGTATCGTCTGTTATTTAGCATTATTACTGTTTAATTTTATCAGGATATATGGCTTAGTTTAAAAATTATTAAGTTTTCTTTACTATAAGTAATTGGAAGAAATTTTTTTTTTTAAAATCTCAAAAATTTTGACCTCTTTTTTGTCGATAAAAATAGGTCTAGTTTCATCTATTTTCATATGTACACTTTAACGTGACTGTTTAGCGTAGCCTACTAGTCAAATGGTGAACTAACCTGTAACTGCAGTGATCGGGAGTCCCTGTTGTCCACGTGCACTCGAATCCTGCCGTATTGCTCGTCAGTTATGCGCAGTGTCAGCAAGCCTGGACAAAGAAATTTGAACATAAATTAGGTAGTTGACAATGAATGATTCCAAGGCATAACAATGTATAGCCCGACCAGGAACATAAAAACCCTCGCCATGTTGCGGAAAACTAATGGTACTAATTTCTTTTAATGGCAACAGTAACTGAAAACTTCATTGACATGTCACCTTGCATGTCAGTCTATTGCTGTCAAAGTGTAAACAAACTTTATTTTAAATGTGCGCAATTGATTTTGTGAATTAAATTGCTAAAATCTTTTTATAGTCGTGAAAGAAAAGTGGTTCACAATGTGTTAAAATATTTGTCGAAGAGAAATACTAAGGGTTCGGACAATATTTTCATTGAATAATGTTCCGACAAAGGTTGTCAAATTGACTGACATGTTTATCGCATAGTACAGTCCACTATGAAAATTAGCTGTGGTTTGTTTCAACTACCTATTTTAATTTTTTTTGGTACTTTATAAGTGTTGAATTTTATGGAATTGGGAAAGAAGTACCGAGTTTGAAGCGTTCATGAGCAAACAAGTTGAATATTCAAGTTCTAAATTTGATTATTGATGAATAATAAAATAAATCCTACTAGCTCGATTGATGGTTTCATTTAATTAATTTAACACAGGTACGACTGTACTCAGTGTTGTACTATCAAATGCAATTGACGCTCCTCTATGCCAGGGTTTTTATGTTCCTGGTCAGGCTATAAAAGAACACATTTCACAATAATTATCCCTGGGATTAATCCGATTCCAATTAACCGTAGTACACACAGATCACAAAAACTAAAGGGAGATGTGACAAGGGGGCGGGGCCGGTGTCGCAGCAATATGCCCAAAAACAGAACACATTTCTCGTGACAGCAATGATGACAGCGATGTCATAATGTAAACAGCTTACATTGCTTGCGTAGTAGGTACTAAAGGAAGATTATTCGAACGTTGAGTACGGAGTGGATATTGAGCACATAATATAAATTTAGTTTTTTTTGTGTGTGT